CAGTGGGAGACTGTTGGTAGCTGTTTGGTCTCCTGCTGGGCCTCTTTGGTAACATGACTGGCAGGAGAGTAATGGGATGTCACACTCAGAGTGCATATTATATCAATCTATCTATCTATATATATATATATATAAATATACACACCTTTAAAGTTAGGGCATCACGTACTGACTTGTGAAGGGAGGGAGTTTTGTAAAAAGGTGTTCTCCCCCTGAGAAGTTGAAAAGGCCGACCTGCTCTCTCTGTAGCGCCCTCAGTGACATGATATTTCTTTTAGCCGAGCAACCATTTGAAGGTGATATTGAGGCATGACTTTGCACTTGGCAAAGCTGACAAGTTCAGCATTAAGTCCCCTCTGAAATATTTATCCATGACAGGAGAAATTTGTAGTTCCTTCCCTATCCTTCCCTTCCACTCCGAGGTAATATCCGGAAAGAAAAAAACCCCCAAAAAGACAAAACACTGGCCACTCATCACTATTCACAATCCAAGATAAGTTGCTTTTAACACAATTAGTTTTTCCCGCGTTAATATTTGTCACGTGGCTTCAGATGTCGCCGTTCTCGTGTTTAATGCTGCACCCCATCCTTCCCTTTAGCGGCTCAGCATCGACATTATGATGAGTTAGGCAGAGCAAAGGAAGAACAATTATCATTTTCTCTCAGATTACATTCAGCAGATGTCAAGGCCCACATGTGGAGGCGGCTAATTGCTGTCTCCAAATCAACTGTGGCATAATACTACAAGCATATGCGAGCATGTGTGTGTGTCTGTGTGGGGAAAATGAAGGTGCTGAGGGGTGTGTTAGCTTGAGAAAGTGTGTGTTCTTGTCTGTGTTGCTCCATTAGCTCTGTGTGTGCATGTGTGTGTGTGTGTGTGTGCGTAAAAAAAAAGAAAAAAGAAGAAAAAAAAAAGTTAATGTGTATATCATGTCAGCGTACTAATGATCAAACTGGCTCACCCGCCATCAGCCGTTCACACCCACATGAGCTGAAAGGATCACACGGCATAAAGACACAAAACTGCATGGCAACACAGACTACCCACTCTCATGCCTCACAGAAGGCAATCATGGTCATACAGCATGGCATCCATATTCTCAGCATATTCACAAATGCAAATACACGGGCACCGCCCCCACGTGCCGAGAGTGCGCTCCCGTGCTACCTAAGAATAATAAAGATTGAGGGATGGAAAGCAACCCTCCATTCCAGCTCCCGGTTCTCCCTCATCTCTGTCTGTGTAGCCTCGAGTGGGATTGCATTTATGGGGCGGAGCAGGCAGATGAGCTCCCTGGGGTGAGAATGGAAAGGGGTGGAGGGTGCATGGCTGTCATACTGAGCTCCAGTGTGGGATGGCTTAGCGAGACGCATGCCGCTGATCAGATTGGTGGATCGGTGGGGAGGATGGGTGGAGGGAAAAGAAAGAAAAAAAAAAAGGAGTAAGTGTGCATGGCTGAGGGAGCTCTGGGGAGGAAGGGTGCCACATCCCATTAACAGAGTCTTTTCATCTAACGTGCACAAGGCAAACGCACATTACACACATGCAAACGTGCAAATCTTACATGCACCTTGAAGAAGCTTGAGCATGCACGCGTGCGCACGTGCACGAGTGCAGGCACGCATCGCCAAAGATCCCCGGTCTCCCCCCCCCCCTAGGCGGACAGTAGCATGATGCCGTGACTGTCGCTCTGAAGTGCTCCCTTCTTCCCTCATTCTGCCTCTCCCGTTTCCTTTTCATCCGTCTTTCCTACTCTTCTTTGGTGCCCCAGTTCACTCCAGTGCACACGCTCCTTCTCTCGTTCCACCCCACCCCACCCCCACCTTTCTCTGCTCCCCATTTCCCATCCCAGCTTCTTTTTTTTTTTTTGCAACCCTCACCCCAGTGATAATGCTAGCCTACGTTTTTAAATAGTCTGTTGCATTTCAAAACAACAAAAAACTGTTAACTGAATTGCAATAAGAGAGGGTTGAATACACAGAAATACATTTTCACAGGCACACACACACTAATAATGCCTACTGTCTAAATTAATATATATACATATACAATGTAAAAAAAAATTTTTTTCCTCCTTTCCACCACAGTAATGGAGATGGGGCTTTGATGGAGGCGGTCAGTCAGTCACATGGCAGATAAACAGCACCTCATTAGGTACATCGAGGGGAATCTCCCAGGCTGGCCCAGACATCATTGTCTGCTAGCATGCTAACAGAGCCGTGGGCAACGCTTCCAACATCTAAACAAAACTGATAGGAGTGGAAAGTAATGATCACATGTTATCCACTAGAAAGGACATGAATAATCACATACAATGGTTTTGGGGGGTGGATGATGCGTTCCCCTGTGCTCTTCCCTATATGATGCATCAGTGGACAAGCTATGCATGCGTCCAGCAGACATTCAAGAAATAACAGCGATGTCAAACTGCCTGGGGCTTGTTTTTTGTTCTGTGGAAGCATGCATAGATGCGTACTGCTATCCATTCATGAGATTATGGGCTATCCATTACTGGATGTTACAGGACTGTATACCAGGAAGCCTCCCAGCCTACAGTCTGTACAGTATGAAGGGCTTGGAAGCCAAGGCTGTGCACTGCAGTGGGGTTTTTTTCCTGCTTTGAGCTTTAGGCAGTCAATTTTCTTTCCATCACCCTCTTGCACACGTTCAGCCGTTCTTGCACTCGCTGTATTTATCTCCCACTCTTCCCCCTCCTCTCCCACCCTATATTAGGCCATCTTCCTTCCCCCTGGCTCCAATGTTAATGCACTTCCAATCAGGCTGTCCATTAAGTGGACGTGCGCTACACGTTCATCAGGCCGTCCAAAGTCCTGCATGCAAATGAGCTCAAATTGCATCGCACTGCAAACTCCTTGAAATCTCCTTAGAGGGAGTGCTATAACATGCATCTGTGAGAAATGCAGGAAAAAGTGGCTGCCTGGCTATCCATTTTATGCAGATGAAAACCGCCGAGACAAGCAGCACAAAGGATTAACCCAACGAGGATGTCTCCAGGATGCAGCGATTTAATGGCGAGACACTCGCACGTGAAGCTCGCTAATATAAATTCTGTGGCACGCAAGCCCGGGTGTTCGAGTAACTGTCAGCCAAACCTTTTTGTCATGCAAAGTTAAACTTTTCACTCTGAAATCAGGGAAAACTTTTGGAACTGCTAAAAGTGAGACACACAATAGTTAGATCTGTTTCGCTTTCTTTCCCTCTCCTCCCTTTTGACTGCTAGGCATTTCACATCACTCCAGACTGTTCTTTATAGAAAGAGTTTGCTGTTGTATCCAGTGGGACTCGTTCATTCTCACCTCAACTCTTTGCCATTTCTAACTTTCTGAAACGATGATGTTTTCGAACGAGGAAGAACAGGGAGGGGATAGAAGAGGACATTGTTGATGTGCAGGTCTGAGAGCTTTAAATAGAAAATGCAGTTCGAGGTAGAGAAGTAGCAAATAGACGACGAGGTTTCGGAGTCATGGAGTCGCGGTTTTAATATTCAGGAGGCACGGGGCTGGGGTTAAATGCACAGAGCATGGGGGGAGTGTCAGCGAGGCCTGTCGCGTGCCAACTCTTAAGTGGCTGTGGCACTCAAAGATAATGAAGAACGATGATGAGGCCAAGGAGGGCATGCCAAGGGCCAACATGCACTTCAAAAAAAAATAAAAAAATCACCCAGAAGACACCTATCAAGCCAAGCACATAGCCACTCATAAAGGTTTCCCAACGGTGCTGATTGCATGTCATGGTGTCAAACCCGTGGCTCAAATTTCACCTGTCAATTTGGATTGCAGTTCGCTTTTTTCTCTGTCCTCCCACGAAGACTTACGCGTCCACGACACTGGGACGCACGAGCTTTTCACACTACATTACGCAATAAGAGGCGGGTAAGTAAATAAATCAGAAAAGTAAAAATAATGGGAGATAAGACAGCTTCCTACATTCCTCAATCATCACCTCAAAGCACACTTGTCATCTTTATTGTTCATTACTGAGGCGTGCGCCGTGATATGCTAACTAATCCCATTAAAGCAATCCACATGAAAACGACTCACGGCACGATAACGGCCCGCACCGCCTCCGCCGTTAATTTATGCCATATTTAAATGTGCGTGGAGTTGAAATAATTAACGTGACTCCTAATTTTGCTTGTGGCAGACAGACGTGCTCGGTAGAAACCACCACGGGATGTTTATTTTCCATCAACTTCCCTTTGCGTGTTTCTCCTCACACTGTCCAACTGCATTGTCCACAGTTCAAAGTGACTGTCTTCTCAGGATGAAGAACTCTGCCAGGGAAACTATTTCCCAGACTGGGAGAGGAACCTCACAGCCCACAACATCTCCCAGCCTCTAAGTTATTAGGCGGCATGATGTGGTAATGACAACACTGAAGGACCTACAGCAGTTGTGATGAGTGCTAATTAAATTACTTTTGCTTCAAATAGTTTTGGGTTTTTTTTATACCGATGAATATCTGTAGATGTTAAGAACAAAATCATACCACCCCAGACAGCCTGCTCCTGAAATCTCGCTACCGCATGATGAGGCGGCTGCTGAGAACACCAGCCACGGGCAACAACTAACTCCGACCTGCAGTCGATTTTATCGTCTTTTATTCTCAAAGCCAACCCCCCCCCGTTAGCTCCGGCATGAGCACAGAACATTTTCCTCTGGTTCACAAATGATGAGTGTGTTTGGATATGAGGCACACGTGCACGGGATTATGAATAAAACATGGCGCCCTTATTAAAAATAATCTGGCTCAAAAGTGCCAGAGGCCCTTGAGGTCGATAACTCTCCTCCCCTTGCAGGGTTCAAGGAGAGGGGTCCCTGATTAGCGCCGGCAACATCCACAGAATGCATTCAAATTCCGTATGATCCAGTGGCGGATGTGGTGAGTGGAATTAAATAAAGCAGATAGTGATTAATGCTCGTGGCAGTGGACGGTGGAGCTGTTTAGGGGTTTGAGCTGAGCTCCGTCTGGTTCCTACCTGAACAAGCCCTTCAGCACGCCTTTCTTGGATTTATTCTTGTCCTTGTCTTTTTCTTTCTCCCTTTCTGGCTTCTTCTTCTCCTTCACCCCAGACTTCTCCTGATCTTTCTGTCTGTCGTCTCTGCCATTCAGCCAGGGGCCCGAAGTCAGGTCACCGCTGGTGGACATGGACTCTTGACCCGATCGGGAGCTTGTGTCATCATCCACTGGAGTGAAAAGATAAAAGCAACAAGGAGTGGGAGTTAAATGCCGGAAACATTCATGCAAACACAGAAAGAGAAAGACAAAGAAAAAGTTATTAAACTTTGACTTGATTCCCCACAGATCACCGGTGTCATAATTGAAATAAGTACTCAACAACACTGCTTTTTCTTTTATTGTGAAAACCATCACTTTGGTTTTTTTTTCCTCTTAGTAACATCAGAGGAACTATAAAAAAACTAAAACTGTGTCCCACAAGGTATAACAGCTTTGAATAAAACACACTGAATACATTTGCCTCATTAGAGCAGAATATATTTACATTGTAGACTAGTTGGGACTAGTGTTGGGGCTGAACACATTTTTACTTTAGCTGAAAGCCTCAAGTTATTTCGTCTGTGTACATTTCTCAAAGATCACAAGAGAACTTCATTTTGCCAACCCCCACAAAAAAAAACCACTTGTGAAAACAGAGCGCGCTGCGATGTCTCATGAATCTGCTTCTTAATTACATTTGAACTCATTTCAGCACAGACATCAAACTGAAACCACACTCCTTAGGTGATGCAAGGTTGATTAAACTCAAAGTTTCCATCACACCTAATCAGAGCCGATGTGCAAAAATGTAATTAATCTGTCAGTAATTATACATTTAAATCATCTCGAAAAAGGCTCCCGGGGATCTTAATTGCAAATACGGTGTGCTCCGCGGTCGGCGTCGCTCCTGTCAGCGCTCCATCTCTGGCGCGGAGACATGAGGTAGATGTCCTTCAGATTACAACTTATTACAGTCTTGCGCGTCGTTGTCCAACTTCTTCCTTTGATGGAGGAGCGAAAAGCGCTTATCGCAGGGAGAGAAGGGGGTGGAGGGGGGGTGCGTGATGGATTTTTGGAATACGGGATGAGGCAGACTGAGGAGAAGGAGGAGCGGCTGGATTCACATTTCAAGGATGAACAGTGGGGTTTGTTTTCTCTTGTGATCTGAGGAGCTATCAGCTATTTCTTTCAGCTGTCATCTCGGAGGAAATTACTGAAATGGAATCTGAGCGCGAGCCACTGTGTATAGCCGAAACAAGAGAACGAAGCGGGGCAGATTAAACCTGCACACTCTTACAATTCATCTCTGCACGGAGCCCCTCCCTCCCCTCCCCACCTCCCCAAATTCGGTCGCGGGCTCTGGATGGGCGCCGATTCTATCGCTCAATCTGGTGGCCCGCTTATCATCCACTTAAGAGTGAATAGCAGCTGTGAGCTGTATCTGGCTATTTAAATGACAGAGATTAGCAGTGGTGCTAATGCTGCTACTGCTTAGTGATGCCAAGCTGCAGATAACACCCAAAACAATGTAATCCAGAGCCTCCCAGAGAGCAGTTACAGCCATGAGTGCTTACGCATGTGTGCAAATGCATCCATGTGTGAATGTAGATATATCTGCATGCTTTTGCACCAAGGTTAATTTGTCTTATTGACTTAGCAGAAAGACTCATTTAAGGGGAAAGTGAAGGCTGATTTAAAAAGAAGAAAAGGCAATCAATTTTAAATATTACAAAGTTGAGAGAAAGAAGCGAAAAATACACAAAAGCCTTTAATACCGGTTATCAAAAGGTGAGGCCGTCTGCAGCAATTTAATGGAGCTCAGAAGCAAAAGGCTGACGTCAGAGGTTCTGATGAAAGCGTCGGGACAGCGAAAGATCATTTCACAGAGACAGACGAGCAAGAAACATTTCGTCACCTTCATGAAAGTCTACAAGTGAACTTTCTTGCTTTAATAATCAAGGACGTCTAAGCCGGTCTGTCAGCAAAGGTTATGACAGACGTAAGTAAAATTGCCAGTCTTATTCTGGGAAAAAAAAAAATGAAAGAAGGGATTTTTGCACAGAACAGATGATTTTTTTTTCCGTTTTCTTTTTTTTTCTTTGCTCGAACCACGCAACACAAAGTAGCACAAGGGAAAGTGCATTTTTGCCCAGCGGGATATCTTGTGGGGACACATTTTCTTTAGGTGATGCCACATTCTTATTTTATGTAAATAAAAGTCTGGGAGCAGGGGAAGGCAGAGGCTTATCTGTCAACTTTGACTATTAACCTCGGTGACGAGCACAGACTGGCTGCTTTTATCTAAATTGAAAAACAGAGTTATTTGAATATCATGGGGAGAATGCAATATACAGCGGCAGGGGAAATCGGTTGCTTTCCCCATTTTTCTTTGCCGAGATAAGACTGTATTTAGTGGCTTGCCGACAGAGCTTATGAGAACAAAGCATTTCAGGCAAATAATTCCTTCTTTTTTCAAATGTCCCCCCAGCTCGTTTAATGGAATCCTTTAATGGTGAATGGAAATTTATATCGAGTGATTACTCTTGTGGTGTTGTGGTGTTATTACCTGTCGGAAAACGTAAGACGGCTGTCTCTCCGTATGCGCTGCATGTCTTTTTGTTATCAAACACTAAGTAGTGAAGGATACATGCCTTGAAAGAGAAGGTAGGGTGTCTTTCTAGTTCTTCTTTTTCTCTCTTCATATTTTAAATGAATTAAAGTAATTGTGGTTTTTAGGCCCTGTCAGGTACACAAGTAAACAAACAGATGGAAGAAATACCGGACAAAGTTCTGTCGTATATGTGCCAAAACCAAGAGGAGCAGACACATACATATAACCAGGGGTGAACATAAGTGGTCCACAGGTGCGCATTCGCTGTCAAAATAAAAGACGCGCACCAGATAAGAAGTTACAACGTTTGCGTGCATAAGATTTTCTGGAGGACGACAGACATTTGTTTAGAACTCTTGAAGATTTCGAAGAAGAAAGCTCCTTTAAGCAATGACTTTGGTGTTCCTCCACCTCCAGAGAAATGTCAGGCGTAGTCCGAACCGCAAAAGAAGCGCGTATTCTCAGAAAAGTGGTTGCAGGAGGTGAGCTGGCTTCAAACAAATGATGAACGCACAGAGATGTGGTGCGGAATATGCCGTGAAAATCCCACTCTAGAGGACAAAAACACTGCCTTTATATGTACACGAACGTGCGTTGCAACTTCTTATCTGGTGGGCGTCTTTAATTTTCACAGCGAATGCACACCTGCGGACCACTTATGTGCACCCCTGCATATAACATTATGACCACCTGCCTAATATTGTTGTTGGTCCCCCTTTTGCTGTTAATACAGCCATGACCCATCGAGGCATAGACTCCACTAGACCCCTAAAGGTGTGCTGTGGTATCTGCACCAAGATGTTAGCTGTGAGTTGTGAGGTGGGGCCTCCGTGGTTTGGACTTGTTTGTCCAGCACATCCCACAGATGCTTGATTGGATTGAGATCTGGAGAATTTGGAGGCCAAGTCAACACCTCAAACTCATTTTTGTGCTCCTCAAACCATTCCTGAATCTTTTATGCTTTGAGGCAGAGTGCATTATCCTGTATTTCCAAACTGTATTTCCATGAAAGGGTTACATGGCCTGCAACAATGTTTAGGTAGGTGCTACGTGTCAAAGTAACATCCACATAGATGGCAGGACCCAAGGTTTCCCAGCAGAACATTGCCCAAAGAATTATACTGTTTCTTCGCACAGTGCATGATAAGCGATGCACACACACACACACAGCTATCTGATGTAAAAGAAAATTTGACTCATCAGACCAGGGCACGCTCTTCTATTTCTACGTGGTCCAGATCTGATATAGTCTGATATGCATATGTCCCTGTTGTTGGCACTTTCGTTGGCAGACAGGTATCAGCATGGGCACCCTCACTGGTCTGCACCTATGCAGCCCCATACGCAATAAACTGTGATGCACTGTCTATCCTGACACCTTTCTATCAGAACCAACATTAACATGTTTGAACAGTCCAAAGCAATTCCACACTATGTGAATAATCATAAGTCCATAACCTAGACACCTATTGCTGATGTGCTTTGTGCAGTGGATCTGTGAAAGTATCACTAAACTGGCCTACATTTATGTGTGAATCTGAACTGCTTTGTAATAACCTACTGATATCTTATATTGTTCATTATTTTAGCACCACAAACTTGGGCACAGTATTCTGCATCAACACTGAAACTCTACCTAAACGGCGTTTCAAACACTCACATGTGTCCACGCTGTTCTCCTCTTCTGGCGCAGTAACAGCAGGCTTCTCGTACGATTTGTCAATCGCAGCGCGGAAACTCTCATTGCAGCCTCGGCTCCTGACGATCCTCGAGCGCGACCTGCGAACATTGATCTCGCCATTCTGCACTGTCCCAGCAACAGCCGTCTGGAGGCTTTCCAAGGAGCTGGATTTTTTCAGGCCCAGGGAAGGCCCGACCTGCTGTTCTGCAGAACCTATGGAAAGATTAAATAAAGTCACTTAGACCTGGCATATGATTAGAACTCCTCTGAAAAAGAAAAAAAAAGCTAAAAGCTGTCATTATGGTGAGTTACGAGAAGGTGCGAGTCTAGCAATTAACATGAAAAACAAATGATGCCATTGCCCGGCCAATGAAGTGTGTGAAATGAGAACAGAGTATTACATCTCCAGCGAGACATTTTCCTGTTGGGAATTATAATTCAACCTTTGTCTTTGTGTCTGCACAGTTAAATTAAGAGGCTGAAACATAATGCATATAAATGGGCCCGCTATCAAAGACACAAATGTAGCACAGCAGCGGAGTGATTATAGAGTAATGTTAAAATATAAGAAATTTCTAATACAGCATATTCACAAATTGCTGAGATGAACTGTATCTCTGAAAAAAAAGAAAAAAATTTCCATCAGCGGTTCTCACTTAATTTTCTTTTTAAACTCAATTTCTCCAAGAGAGATTAGATAAAACAAGGTGAGGGGAAAAAGACGAGGACATGTAGGCTGAACAGATTTTACATCCATTAATCTTCAGTGCAGGTCGTATTGCAGTGTTCAGAAGCCCAAACAACATCGCACAACTGTAGTACTTGGCTTCATTTCTAAGGCTTTCTGTGCAGTGACGGAGAGTAATATCATAAAGGGTACATACGTTTAACAAGAGACACTCAGAGAGCGCAGACCTCCGCCAAGGGAGCTCACTCTCTTGGCGGTTATTTACTTTTAAAAGGATAGTACTGGATTTTCTATACATTCATTTACTCTTCTTCTATTGAAATTTTATTTTAAGAAGTTTATAGCGCAGTTCACAAAAGCCCAACTGGTGACAATGGAAAGACTGTCACTGTAGGTATGGGCAGTAGCTGCCCAAGCACTTAAATACCTTTAACTATACTGTTAATGTCTAACTGTGACATCATCAACAAAATCAGATAAGAGAAGTATGATGGATGTTTGGTTTGATCAGACAAACATTATGTAGCAGGAGGTCATGTATAATAGGTGTTGATTTGTAAATAACTTGACATGAATAACAGTATCTTTCTAAATAACCAGGCACGTATCTCCACGATACTCTCTTTGGCAGATGTGAGATGTAAAAGTGAGGTCAGAGGTCAAATGTAACATAATATTTGAATGCAAACTATAATGTAATATTTAGAATCCCCATATATCATTCCCTATATATTATTTACAAACTATACAGCAAGAAATGCAGTTTTTACTGCAACACATGATACAAACGCTGGGACATTAGCTAGAGTTTCAAAATGATCAGAGATGCTAATGTAAATGGTATCAAACCTAAGGCAAAATATCTCCTTAAAAGGGCGTGGAGCTGATTGATACTGCGTGGTAAGCAGAGCAAATGTTAAACAGCCACCCTCTCTGATATTTGAGCCAGGCCCACACATCTGTAATTATTTTTCCAATGCTTGCCGGGGGTTTGTTTAGGGTATGTAAGTGGAGCGCGACTCAGGTATTGGTATTTCATTTTGCTGGGGAGCGTCCATCAGGTCCCTGGAGCTCTTACCTCACCCACCAGTTGTTAAACAAGCAACCCGGTTGACTTTTCCCGTCCCCTTTGTTGTGCTTTGATTCAGAATACAGTAAGACGCTGTCAAACTTAACAAGATGGATTTCTGACTATGTGCCAGTGAAGCCTTGTTGTGAGGCTATGCAGAGGAAGCGATCAGTAATAAGGATTAAGCTGTTAATTCAATTATTTTATTAGCCCCAAAGGCTCTCTGAGGGTGTAGCAAATGTCTGTGGACTCGGGGACAGAGTGGCATTGTGTCTTTATGACTCCCCCTGGACCACACATGTCACAAATAGTGTTTCCTCTGTGGCTTCAGGTGGTGTAAATAAATGTCTTCTGCAGCTCTTCCTGTTGGTTTTCAACAGCACATGTTGTTCTGTCGTCAGCCCCACTGAACAGAACACCCTGAGTTTATTTGCATGTGTGGGTCCCACACAGGGACTCCCTAACAAGCACAGAAACAAAATTCACCAACTCGCACGTCTATACAATCAAGGATTTTCGACGTGTTTAAAGTGGCCTAAATGAGGCATATCCCACTGCTGCTGGGTGATCCCAGTGGATCTTTAGGCAAAGAAAATAAATCCCTCTAACACTTCCCCCCATGCAACCTCCAGACAGGATGAGTGTGTTAATGCACAAAAGTTGCAGAAGAACAAATAAGAGCTTAGGAAAAAGGGAACACTTTCCCTGCAGTGCAAAAATGCACACCCTGCAGCTACTTACAATCATTGTACCAATCATATTACAAACCTACAATGACTATCAACTACTTTTACTAGTACATACCAATTAAGCTATACAACTAAAGAAGATATTGCCAAAAGAATTCACTCACCCATCCAAATCATTGAATCATTGTCACTTCCACTGGCACAGGTATATAAAAACAAGCACCTACGCATGCAGACTGCTTCTACAAACATTCAGGAAAGAATAAGTCGCTCTCGGGTGTTCAGTGAATTCCAGTACGGTACTGTGATAGGATGCGACTTGTGCAGCAAGTCCAGTTGTGAAATTTCCTCACTACTAAATGGTCTGTTAGTGGTATCATATCATAAAGTGGAAGCAACTGGGAATGACAACAACTCAGCTTTGCTCAAGACAGACAACAGTGTGTAGAGAGCTTCATGGAATGGGTTTCCATGGCCATGCAGCTGCATCCAAGCCTTATATCACCAAGTGCAATGCAAAGTGTTGGATGCACGCTTCTCTGCCTGGCAATCCGATGGATGAGTCTGGGTTTGGAGGTTGCCATGAGAACAGTGTGAAGTTAAGTGTGGGGTTGTTTCAGGAGTTGGGCTCGGCTGTTTAAAGGTGAAAGGAACTATTAATGCTTCAGCATACCAAGACATTTTGGACAATTTCATGGTCACAATTTTGGGGGAACAGTTTGGGGATGGCCCCTTCATGCTCCAGCATGACTGTGCACCAGTGCACAAAGAAAGTTCCATAAAGATATGGATGAGCGAGCCTGGTGTGGAAGAACTTGACTGGCCTGCACAGACTCCTGATCTCAACAAGATAGAACGCGTTTGAGAAGCATTTGAGTGGAGACTCTGAGCCAGGCCTTTGAATCCAACATTATTACAGACCTCAAAAATGCTCTTCTGGAAGAGTGGTCAAAAATTCCTATAAACACTCCAAACCCTTTTGGAGGTTGTTCCCAGAAGACTTGAGGCTGTTATAGCTGTAAAGGGTGGGTCAACATTACATTAAACCCTATGGATTAATAATGGGAGGTCACTGAAGTTCATATCCATGCGAAGGCAGACAAGTGAATACTTTTGTTAGTATAGCGTACTAGTTGCATGGGACTTGTTTTAAAAGGAGTAAGTTATGTTACATGTAGTATCTTTTGGGTCAAAGAGTCATCCCTGTTTCTGCTGCATTTGCTACCAATGAACCCTTAGTGAGAGTATGAGTGCTTCCCCCTCATCCGTAGCAGCTATAGATCTAAAGTCAGACAAGACACACAGGCTAAAAGCTCATCTGTTTGCCAATGGTGGCTTCCAAACCAGTGACCATACCATTTCTCCTCTCTCCTTGCCAAATTTAATGAAAGTGCTCAGTCCCATGAGAGCCTACACTCACTCAAGCATCAATCATATAATTTTGCATCCTACTTAGTGAGGAGATCTCATATGCCTGTCTTTTATGCTGCATAGGACAGTAAAATGAAACTTTACTGCGCGCTACAAATGTCTAGGAGGTCAAAAGTTCTCTGGTAGCAGCAGCCAAAGATTCATTTTACTTGTTAGTTTCTCAGTGGAGGTGGGTCCATTTTATTAGCATGACAAATATCAATGCCAGGAAAGCATAAACAGACTTACAAGACCAACTGAATGCAAGTAAAAAGAAAAAAAAATCATCTAATTCATTTGAAGAAGCAATTTCATCCTGCAAAGGACAAGAGAGGACGGCCTGAAGTAAAAAATTCATTATAAGAAAGCATAGGCACAGAAACAGCATGACAGAAAAATGATGGAGTGTTTCATCCTTTGAGGATAAAACTCAATCAATCCAGTACAAATGCCATGTAAAGTTGGATTTTTTTCTTTTTTTGAGGCTTAAGCATTAAAGCCTGCCAACGACGGACACACAGATGCCAGGGTGCATGGCTGACACAATGGGATTGCAAGTTAGACCTGCACGGGATGCAACAGTTCAAGGGAACAAAAATGACATCTGCTGTACTCGGAAACAGGGAATTATCCTCCTGCTTGGTATTCCGCGCCACAGTCCTGCTCGCCATTGTTTCTCGTCGGCGCGGCGGTTAACTGAGAAAAGCGCGGAGACAAAGAGAATGGGAGAGCGAGGCAAAGAGACGGTTTTTGCCCACCGACCCAACTGCCTCAAACCTGCCTTTGTTTTCATCAGAAGCCGCCCCGGCTCTCTCCTGGGAGGGTTTGACGGACAGCTCTCTGTGTGCCAATCTATTATGTGATTCCTATCACACAACAGAAACCTCGGTGCTCTGCTCCTCATCTCCTTCTTATTCAGAGGAATGAAAATACATATTTCCCCAACTGCATACAGACATGAGTTTGCCACTCCCTGCACGTCTGGAGGAGAAATGAAAATCATCAAAATGAAATACACAAAGAGAAAGACAATCAGACTAAATGGGGTGAAAGTGCACCTGGTTGCAAACAAACCTGGCCCGCGTGCTGCGTACTTTAGCCAGATTAAGGGCAAGGACAGTTAATTGGAGAAGATCCATTGCCATTAAACGTTAAAGGGGCAGTGTGGCAAACTTCATGAATAAATCAGTGGTGGTTATTACAGGGACAGAAGCCCATGGTATAATTAGAGCAGCTAAAAACTATGCTTTGCAGCCATTATTCACCACGGACCCTTGCATGTAAAGATCTGTGTACAGACAGGGGCTCCATTACACATAATTTATTCAGAGTGTCGGGGCTTTAAGGAGGGTGGTAAAAGGGTAATTATGTAAAAAATAACCTCCAAGATGGTCAGAGGAAGGCCACGTCCAGGTATCCCAGTGGAAGTGAGGCGTCGCTGGGTCAGCTGCGCTATTATGTCTCTGCCAGTTGTGGACCATTAGCCCGACAGAGGACGTCCTCCACACGCTCAGCATATGTCACAGGAAATCATTATGAGCCGGACTTGGTTAACATCTCAATTAAGGATGCTGGATATTTTGATGTGCACTTTTCAGGCTTCAAAGAAATCCAGTGAATTTTTTGGGGGGTTTGTTTATCATCGTTCAGTGTAGAGTACTTTTCCTACATTTAAAGAAGCTGACAACTCTACTGGCAAGACTGGAAATTCACTGGATTAGTGGTAGACTTGGCTGGAACAGATATTCACAATTACAGTAAGCATAAAAACATCTGCCAGGTTGTCATTTACTACCACTGGCCTATTGCGACTGGATCGGCTGCCAGCTTTCTACAAGGAAAGTCTCCACTCATGTGTTTGGTAGTCTATGAGATGTGGCTTATCGAGAGCGCTTTGACCTCAGACTGCTGGTTTACTTGTGGTTCCTCTGGTATTTAAAAGTAGAATGGGAGGCAGAGACCTTCAGCTTTCAGGCTCCTCAATGAAAGCTCCAAATTAGGATTCAGGAGACAGACAGACACCTTCTCTCCTTTAAAGATTTAAAGTGTTTCCTTTCTGATAAAGTTTATAGTTAGGGCTGGATCAGGCTCACCTGATCCAGCCCTAACTATAAACATTGAAGTAACTATTGTTGTGATTTGTGCTAATGCATAAAAATAAAACTGAATTACTGAATTTAATTTAATTTGAAATACACTGAAATACCCAGTTTAGGCACACATTAGATTCTTGTTTTGTTCAAATACTCCCTAAAAACAACAACTATGTTAATTAGTGGTCAAGATTCAGTCATTTCATCCTGTGTCAGTTTAATGGAGTGACTGCACTCTGTTTTATTCAGCCTCATTCAAACCAACCTGGCTGTGATGGATCAATTGCAGAAGCTGAAGAGGCCAACCTGCCAATGAACATCTTTCTATTGCAAATGCTACTGCATTGCCAGGCTCCATGCAGCCCTTCACATCTCATGGAGTAATGAGTGTTTTCTTCAGTCATTTGCACTGCAGAACGAGCACAATGGCACAGGTTCCCAAATTAGTTACCAAGCCTCTATTCACTGCCATTCAACTCCCTTTCAGCACCAGAAAAAAACCCCTTTTGATCACGCTGAAATTAGCTCAAACAGCACCCTCCGTTATATGCATCTGAAGGGGGCTGAGATCACAAATCCAATAATGGCTGGTTATGAGCTAGTTATGGAATAAGAGTGGGACTGCTCTTCCGATCTCTATTACTGACCCGTGGATGGAACCGAACATCATATCGGTTGACCTCATTAGCGGCGGCAGGGCTCAGAGCTTATTTCTGCTCAAGTTCTTGTCGCACTGTGCTACTCTTAAAAGGACCAAACAAACATTAGTGCAGTCTGCACAACGTCATGAAACGCACACAAAGAAATAAGAAAGTGAAGCGCAGACACAAAGCAAGAGGAGCAGGTCTTACACTTCATGAAGGAGCCGTCCATCACCAGGTAAAGTGTCCGGCATGTGCTAACGTCTCACTGCCAGCGCCGACACCTCACGTCGCTTTCTTCCCTTTTCTTCTCTCACTCAATTTTATTCCCCATTTAAATGGGATTGAACTGCAGGGTGTCCGACCCGTTTAGCATATTTCAACAATGATGGGTTTCAAAGTCATGAAATCCATCTGCTGATGAGATTTAGGAGCAGCTGGAACATGATTAAAAGGAGGGAAAAATACCTAGTGACGGAATAAAATGTAAGTCAGTAGGGAATAGCGTTCTTGAGCATGTTAACTACTTTTTTTATTCCTCTGAGTAATTTGAAAGCAGAGAGCGGCTTTATTAGTGCGCTATTGGGAAAGCAGAGCGGTATTCTTACACCTGCTAGCTGAGCTAAGTTCTAATGTCCAGCTGTGTGGCGAAGGCACGGCTTAAGGGAGAGCGCTGGCACTACTTTCTTTGGCTCACTTCATTTTCAGATCTACTCGCACAATACCCAGAGGTCGTTTTTGCATTGGGCAGCTTTCATGTAATTATTTCAGAAAAAGAATAAGCATGATAGCATAGCAGTGAATAAGCATGATAGCATAGCAGTGAATAAGCATGATAGCATAGCAGCGTCTTCCTCTGAGATAAATGGAAGTGCGGTGACTGGGCACGTGCCAAATCACAAACCATGTGTATTTCATTTCAAAAGTTAAGTCTAGCGCTTGTGTTTCATCTATTGACTGAAAGAGGACTGAATTTTTCTTGTGGGGAAACCACGTCAGCTACAAGAGTTATTATGACTGGAATAAGTTTGTTATTTCCCTGAACCATCTGAACACTGTGATATTCTCATCGATGGATTATGATTTTGTATTGGCAAGGATTTCTGTCAGCTGGATATTTCACAAACTTAATTGGGCCCGGTGAAAGGGGATGCTTTTTATTTATTTTTTTGGGGGGGGGTAGTTTTTTTGAATTTCATGTAATAAAAACCACAGGCACGCCCGCGCACAGACACAGAGGGATCTTGATAAAGAAATAATACAGCAGTAACAGAGATTTGTAAAAGATCAATTACACTGGTTATCTCGAATGTGTGAGGCGCCGTCTTATGAGTACATTAATCAGGATCTTTGTTAAAAAAAAAAGAAAGAAAGAAAAGCTGTAGTTTACAGCTAATCCAATGCACAAACAAACACGCAAAGACTCCACTTTGAAACAATTAAGAAGCTTTTTTGATTAAACTCATTGATAACATGTGCATTTGCAATGATGAGAACACCATCAAAGCCTTATCTCAGCATCCCTTCCGTTCTACTCGCTTCCTGTCCTCAGTAATATCCAATTATATTTTAAACACTGAGAACTTAATGGAAACCATTTCAGGCCAACTAACTGCTGAACAAAACCCATCGGATGGCTGACAGTTTTCTTCTCCCGAACTTTGTGTTTGTAGAAAAGTTTCAATGGTGGACAGAAGGTATTACAAAGGATCTAGACCCCACAGAGCTCGGTGCAGTGGCCCAGACCTGCACCAGTCTGTGGGCGAGTCAAAGATTTCTACAGGTCTCTGGGCTCCATGTGGAAAAGAGTTGGCTGTTATCTGTTGTGATTAGTCAGTGATCCGAGAGAAGGCAGCGTCTGCTTCAGTCTCAGCGGGAGAAGCTTGGAGTTCACACCATCTTCTTCCCTGGATACAGTTTGTCTGTTTGAGAGTGTGCTTGCCCAGTGCGTGTTTGTGTAGGCCTGCATCTGACTGGCTCTCCCATCACTAAGCATTGTGCACTTGCGCTTGTGTTTTTATCCATGGTCCACTGGACAAAGGGCCATGGGAAATGGAGGCCAAAAGAGGAGAGGTGGTGGCTGGACAGGACTGAAGTGACTGTGTGTGTATTACTGTTTTTGAAAGTGCATTTACTGAGGTAAGCAGGATAAAGTGAGCAGCAAGTGTTTGAGGAGTCACAAGTTCAAGATGCGTTTGAGGTGTCCAGCAGGTGAAAGGAGCACTGAGTGACAATGAACAATCTGGAGGTTTGTTTACTGCAAACAAACCTCCAGATTAGCCGTGCTGAGTGGGAAAAAAATTGAAAGGAGACACGCAGTCATCACAAGGTAGAGGATTGTTTTCTTTGTACGGCCAAGCTTAGGATGCCAAACCAGGAAAAACACTTCTTGCTCAAAAGAAAAAAGTAGTACATGAGGTGAATTTACTTTTGTGTAATATCAGTAATCTGCCTGAAATTAAGTTTAGAAAAAAATCCATTAACTTGTTGCAGAGACAAGATTGAACGTATGATCATATCTGCACACTAACTATTAAGCTACCAGTATTTTCTGGCATATACTGACATGCATGTTGTTGGACTAAATCATGCAAAAGAAAGGAAAATAATATTTTGTCATTTAGCAGGACACTGACAGGTAACCGCCACAGGCTCAGGAAAATACAGGTTTCTGGTGATGGACAAATCGGCCCTTTGTACATAAACACAGCAGTCCTGCTTTCTCCTGTCCTTTTGCCAAAGAGTCCATGGGCAAGACAATAAATTTGAAACATGATCCAAGTCAGCTCTGGTGGCCCTGGTGTGTGTGTAAGAGAGAGAAGATGTGCAAAAAGGGAAACTGCTAAGACAAGAAGGCAGGAAATACAGTAAGTGTAGTCCATTCCCCAGGTTGTCAAACTTTTCCCTGTAGATGTGTGTTTGTGTGATGGTTCGGGCTTAGCACTTGCCTAAATCCATGCTCTTGGACTTGCGAGACTTGATGATCTCCAGATGTGCAGGATTCTCGTACTGCTTCGTGCGCTTTTCCGACATACTCTGGCGACCATACCCCTCCCTCTGGAATGAAGTGCCAGGGTCTGCGTCCGGACTGAGCGAACTACAGTTTGATAGGAAAAAAAGACAGAGGGACAAAAAGAGGTAGAAGTATTAGATACTGGCAAGTGTAGAGTCACTCTTTTCATCTGGAGATAATTCTATTGAAGACACATTTTTTCAGTCATCTACACAGTGCATTAAGTTGCACTTACATGGCCAGGAGACATCCTGATGATAAGAAATAAAATCGTCCTATTAATATTCACACAACCCCAGACCTCAGCCTAAAATACCCCTTTGCTATCAGATAATGACCATCGACATTCAATATGCACACACACACACACACACACACACACACACACACACACACACACACACACACACACACACACACCTTTCATTTCAAAGCCTTTCCTCATCAAGGACACCTACACGTATGCTTAGTGGGTTCAGGACACACCACAAGTGGGAGGCAGGGCCTTGGCCTAGATGTGTATAATACCCCAGGTAAGGTGAGGGTTCTCTGGGGTCACGGCCACTCAAATAACGCCCTCCTCCAGGACGTCTGGAGCAGCAGCAAGGCCCATCCCACTGCAGCACACTCCGTTTGAGATCCTCTATCTTTGTCTGGATCTTAATTGAAAATCGGATGGGAGCAGGGAAAGGAGGTCGAGAGAGGCGGACACTGGCATTTGCATGCAGGGACGTGCATTTACAATTAGGTGAGAAGCGCTTTGCAATTTCAGGGCAGATGGAAGGTAGGGATGCAGCATCAGTGAAATCTAATAAATGCTACACGCAGCCATTTCTTTTGTTCTCATGGTGCTCGTACACGAGCGTTTAAATAACAGCAGAATTTTCATCAAATAATCACATTTCTTTGGATTTGTGGAGCTTTTATGCAAAATCGAAAGCCGTAACTGCAACTATGTAACTTCAGGAGTAGTGAGGAAGTAGATATTTGTAAACGTATCCTCTTGGAGCAGATGCTACTTCAAGCAGTCCTCGGTATTTGGAATATCAGCTAACTGCAGGCGTGCCTGCACTCGTTTCCATGTAAACAATTCTTATTTAGGTCGTCAACCCCACTTAACAAGAGAGCTGCTTCAATGTGTCGCAGAGGGGGCTGGCGTCAATGTGTTGCTTTACCGTCAACCATACCTGACAATCCCAACTAAGATCAGACTGTCTCGCAGGACCATCTCCAGATGACACAGGAAGAGAGGGAGGTGGAGCAGGAACAGAAGAATGACAGCACAGATGTATTATTCATTTATACATCATCCCTCGCTTTTTCCTCCTCTCATCATTCTGAGCCCCGCAAAAAAAAAGAAGGAAAAAAAAAGGGCGAGCATGGCCTGTATTTTTCTGTCTCTGCAAATGTCATGTGTCGGAGCGTGACTGAGGCTGTGCAGATGGGAAAGGATGCATTTTCAGCCTGAATTTAGATTTCATTTACTCTCACTGGTATTGGGTTATGGAGCTGAGTTGCAAATGGAGGCAACATAGGTGAAAGTGAGAAACCAGCAGGTGGGAATCACACAGGGGTACAGAGAGCTGATGACCACACTAAGATTTGTGAGAGCAGTTAAAGAAATTAGCAGCTGGGACCAGAAGGGCACGCAGCTTTTTCGGAGCAAAAATAGTGAGAAATCTGCGCGAAGAAAGAGCGAAGTTAAGAGGGAGCAGCTGAGCGGGTGGTGTAAATTCACTTAGCTGGAGGCCAGAGCTGTTGGTTTAAGCTGCTGCCCATTTTAGCACCATCTCTGATTTACTTTGGCACATACGGAGCAGTGACTAAATGCCTAGCATGTGGGTCTAGGGTAACCTGAAGAGAAGCGGCAACTGTGCTGCTCTGAACTGCTTTTTAAGCTAAGGGTACCTGCTGTTGGAACCTGCACCTCAGGTCTCAGAAGCCATAACTATTTAAAGAGGTGGCGATGACCAGCAGCCAAGCAGTTCCTGAGTTTGAATCTTCATCACAGGTTTAAACTATCTTGGGCTGAAGGCACGTGTAGACTTCACATCTTTTTATATATACTCTATTCAGAGCCAATTAAAGCATCTAAAATCTCACGCATCATTCTCGCCAGAACATGTTTTGTTTTTTTCACTGTAAACTAACACAAAGGTTTACAGCTGCTAATGAAAGTATAAAGATGGGGACAAAATTATTAGCAAAAATGGCAAGTGTCAATATTATTATCAACCCAGAAAAACTGGCCTGACATCGTCCCCATAGCGAAACATGGCGGTGGGAGGATTATGCTGGGGGAACGCTTCAGTGTGACTGGAACTGGGAATCTCATCAAGGTAGAAGGATTATAATGAAAGATGGATATGTGAAGATTTTGAAAGAAATCAAAGTAGTCAGCAGTAAAACCGGGTCTGGGTCATCGTTTTGTCTTCCAACCGATAACGATCTAAGACATACGGCGCACCTGGTGAAGAACCAAAGCTGTGTTTCAGACTCCTTGTTTTGGTTAAGAGCAGTTTGGAAATGGTTTTTAAGAATAAGGCTTTCATAAGGAGGCTAATCAGTCCTCATCTGTACATGTATGAATTACAGAGTGGTCATCAATGAGATGTGGCTTTCAAAAACTATGTCCTTGTTTAAGATGCTTCTTAAGCTCAAAACTCTAGTTTAGTCAGCTCTGACTGGTTGAGCCTGTGAAGCTGAGACCCATACAGCATTCCCACTGGAAAAGCTACCTTAGATATTCAATAGGATTCAACAGGATTTGAAAGTGAAAAATACAGCGTGGCCAATTAGAAGATGAATTCGGTCGTCTAAAGAATGGCACACTTCCTTCTTCAGACCATCGAGCCAGTCCACGTCTCTGGACTGTATTTAGACAGATGTTACATGATACATTAGTGGGTTTTTCAGATTCTTTATTTTGTATTTAGCAGTGACTCAAACAAAATTCCAGTCACAGAATTCAAAAAAATTATAATGGGATCCATAATGAATATTTTTTTGTCTGGTCCATCCGTTAATGGGGGAAATAGGGTACATACAGAATTATATGCATACACATGCTATGATCACTATAGTAAGAACATTACTTACTGCTTTCCTCCCATTCAAAGTGCTCCCATCATCTAAAATTAAACAGCGCTGAGGATTGCTCACAGGCAAATCCACAGCTTTAACTTACATTTTACATCACTCCTTACTTCCTCGCAGGAAGTTGAACGTGTCAAACTGCACATTGGCCTCGTTGCTAAGCGGCGTGTGTTAAAAGCCCTCTGCGCTCACAATTACCCTGGTGACACTGTTTCTTTTCAAACTTCCTCTCTTTCTTTTACTCAAACCTTTTTCACTTGTGTTTCAAACTGACCCCAAAGAGTTAAGTCTCTACTACTTCTTAGTGCAGCTAAGTCTGACCGGGTGGGGTTCTTTGTATTAGTTTCAGCGCCTTGGAGAGGGGGCAAGAGGTGGAGAGCAATGCCCAGCAAGGTGCTTCTGAAATGGTTATTCTGAGGTTTGAGGAGGGCGATTCAGTTGACTGCTTGGATGCATAGCTGAGTCGGGGAGCTTGGAGCTGCTTTCAATCACTGTATGAAGTCCTGCATGAGAAGTTGGTGCAGAGGTTTGTTTTCCTAGCATGTGCACCAGTGGACACCAGACAGTCCAAATACTGGCTAGTAGAAAAGAAAGGTGAAATACGAGATTACTTTTATTTTGTTTATTTCTTAAACGCAAGTGGATTTTAACAAGGGATGTCTCATATAGCTGCTTTTGCTTCACTCGCTTAATTGCACACATAAATCATCAGACTTTAAACGCGGATATAAAAACTGTAAGACAGCGCGGTTCGATCAGTGCCACACAGCGGAGCAGCTGCACCTGCGATTTGCCGTAATTCCCTTTTAATTGTGATGAAGTTGCTGAGAGAGGCAGAGAGAGAGAGAACAAGATCAATTAAGACCTCTTTGTCCGTCTGCTCCCTCCTGTGCCGACCCTCTCATTCTTTCCCTGCCTGGTTTACGAAGCTTTTAATTGAGTTTGGCTAGATGGACTGCTCCGGTCTGCTCGTACACGATGACGACTGACAAGGACCGGGCAAAGATATATTTTGGTGCGTGCGCAGGCTAGGTTAGCTGCACTCCTGTCACAGTGACACAGAGCAGGTCGCACACAGACACAGAGTGTGCGATGCAGGAAGTCGGTGAAGGGAGGGCACAGAAATGAGACATATTCACCGTATTCATAAATCTAGAAGGGAATGATAGCATTTAAAGAAAAAAAGGTCCAAATATGCTGTGAAGCTGTGTGAGTGTGTGAGCCGTCTGGCCTTTAAGTCACTACCAACTTAAATGGAAATTTGAGATTAGTGAAATTGTGTGTGAATGCATCCACGCCTGTGCTGCAGGGCTGTTTGCATTTATATGTAGTTATGCTGATAGTTTGATGGGAAAAACATGTGCTTAACAGAGCACTTGTGATCCTTAGTTACACTGCTGATGACAGAGACTATTAGGGAGTCAACCGAAGTAGGCAGTCCGCCTGCAAAGTTTGTTTGTTCGTGTCCGCGCGAACCGTTTCCACTTTATATGTTAATTTGCGAAATTGTTTACCAGCCAATGTGTATCTAAACACTCGTGAGACTGAGAGCACCGGCACGGCTGTGTGTATTTGCGGGTGTGAAAAATGGATGTGTGGGTACGCTTGTCTGGAGTCCTTCTCCATCCTTGCTGCTTGACAGAGTGTTTCGGAGCTGCCTGGGAAATGATGTTTCCACCTGTGACATCTCACAAAGACAGAGAAGGACACAGTCTAGTTGTCTCTCTCTCGCTCTCATGCTTCCTCTCCGTCGCTCTTGCTGTCCGTTTCTCTTCTCTCTCCGCTTAATGAGAATTGACACCCATCTTCCACTCTGTCAGCCTTACCCAGGCTGAGGTCCAAAGCAGGACGAGGGCAGACACGGTAGTCTTGTGTAGATTAGTGTTGTGACAGTGCCCCTAACGGTCCAAGTGAGAAAATGACGGGTAATTTTGAATAAGTCTGCATCTGTGATACTAGTTATTATTATTTTAAAATAACTTGTAGTG